ATCGATAGCTGCGCTCAGGGCCTTCGCTGTCCAGCTTCCCAGTCTGGCCATCGTTGTTCAGCATTTCGGTCTGACCATTTTGAACCACCTTTCTTCAGGATCCAGCTCGCGGCACGTCGTTGCTGGAGCAACACAGACAAGCAAGGGTTGCCGAGATGAAAGCGGATGCAGAAAAGGGAAAGGACAGGGCCAAGGCCAGCTCGTCTCCTCGTCATCGAGGAGAGCATCAAGATCGGCACCGTTCCGAGCGACGTCGTAGAAGTAGATCGTACAGTGAAAGCGAGAGCGAGGATTCTGCAGAAGAAAAAAGGAGGCGCGAAAGAAGAAGAGAGCGAGAGCGGAGTCGATCGCCACGTCGAAGCAGTGGCAAGTCGGGGCATCGAGAGCGGTCGCGCTCTCCCTCCATCTCAAGATTAGATATCGAGGATGAAGAGCGCAGACGGCGGCGGAAGAGGAAAGAGCGAGAACATAAAGAGGAAAAGGAGGCGAGGAGAGCGCAAAGAAAAGCCGAAAAGGCCAGGGAAGCGGAGAAGAGGGCTGCCAAGCAACGGAGGGTCAAGGAAGAGAAGGAGAAAGCAGCGCCGGTGGTTTGGGACAGGGACGCTGTCTTGGGACAGAGCGGCAAGATGTTTGATGATAAGAAGAGAGCGGCCATGATCCGAGACGCTGCAGGATTGCGTGACCGCTTCGGCACATCGTCCAGCGGTGCCTTTCTCAAATAGGAGACACGATCTCACACATGCTTGCGCCAGACCGCTGCCATGTTCTGCGAGTGAATGCTATTGCTTTTCTTACTGTTACAATGAGTGTTGTGCTGAGTGTCAAGCCACATAGCCAAACAGATTTTGTGCCCCCATCCACGCTCCAGATCAAACCTGACCGTTACACCACGTCGTTCCCGTCTTCAATTCGAACCTCACTTCATGTCGCCGGCAGCATCACTCTCAGCGGAAGGCTGCGCTACTTCGCCTTCATTGTTGAGCCGCATTGCACCGACTCCATCATCCATTGTAGCTTCCTCATCATCATCAATACCGAGGAGAGATGCGCCCCTTGCGCGACCGAGACCCAGTCCGAGAGCAGCAGAGTTGCCACTGATGCTCAAGCCGAGCGCACCACTGCCATAGCCCGGACCCGAGCCTGATTTGCCAGCAGAGCTAGAAAGTATACCAGGCGAAGGACCTGCCCCTCCGCTGTAAGCGTTGAAAGGCGGCGGACATCCTGTCGGTGTCGAAGGACGTGTGGCTGGACTGCCAGATCGAGAGGATCGACTCGCGCTCATGTGTGGCTGTCCGCTTCCTGCTGCTGATGAGCCTGCTGCACCAGCTCCGATGCTCATGCGAGAAGGAAAGTGTGTGGCGAAGTATGATCCACCGCGATTGCCCGAGCTGCCGGAAAGGCCGGCCGAAAACCCAATCGTAGGCGATGGAATAGAAAGGGGCGTCGGATTAGGAAGACCTGAGGTCGACGCCGCGCCCAGAGCAGAGCTTGCTGGGGTAGCAGACAAGCTTGGACTGATGAGAGGATGTGTCGCACCGCTGCCAAGAATCAAAGTGGCTGGGCTGACGGCGCGACGCTTATATGCGCTTGAAGTGTAGGGGTCGAAGCGCTCTTCTGCTCCCATCTTTCTCTTGGCCGACCTGCCTACAAAGCCTGGCGATCCGCTAGCACTGACACCCGTTGCGCTCATCATGCCAGCCAAAGAAAGGGGTGCGGGCATCCCTTGATCAGCGTCGATCGAGCCTGTGGACATGGCGCCAGGCGTTCTTGCTCGACGTAGTCTCTCCGAGCCTGGCGACTGTCGCGTCTTGACATCCCTAAAGCCCATCCAAAGTGATCCGCGCTTGGTCGCGGACGGGGCGCTCGACGCCAGGCCACTTTTGTCCGGGTCCGTCGACTCGTCGAGGTCTCCAGCTGAATTATTGGCCTCTCGCAGCTCTTTCTCCTCATCCGTATCGTGTCTCCGCGCTTGATAGCTGGTAGACATACCGAGGTCGTCATCACTCGTAGCAGAATCTGCGTTCTCTGCATCGCCATCCCGGCTAGGCGACATCGAAGTGTCCCTTCCATTTCTCCGGCCGAAGCCAAAGCCTTTGCTGTTGATGCCGCGAAATGCATCGAATGGCGCGCCAGCTCGCGAAGCAGCAGGGTCGAAGATGTTGCGCGAGATGGGTGGCATTACTGGTCCGTCTTCGCCGCACAATTTTCGTGCAAGTTTTGCTTCTGATGCCACTTCGCTGTCTGTAGGCCTTGATTCATCCTGCAATGTGGCGGCGACTCGCATGATGGATCGATCTCTCGGCTGTGCGTACGTCGTGAAAGCGAGGATGAGCTACCAAATTGAAGCGCAGATACTCGGGGAGGGATTGTAGCTCGGACATACCGTCAGATTGCTCCTGCGCACCGCCCTGCGCACCACTCCACTTCTGATACCCGAGCTATGCGGTGTTCCACTACTTGAAGACGCTGATGTGCTTCCACGTCCGGTAGGCGGATCAAGCGCGGTGTTTCCCGTCGCACTCGTGGGTGCTGCGATGCCTGCCGTTGATGATTCCTGGCCATCTAAGATTCCACCAGAAGTGGTCCTGATAGAAGAGATGGGCGAGTCAGAGCTGCGGGAGCGGTCCGCTGCTGGGCTCAGCGATGCCATGTCCACCATATCGTAGTCGCTGCTGCTGACCATCGTCACATTTCCGTGCCTGCCAGTATCCTCGTCGGACATGACTACTGGACTTCGAGATCGACGTCGAGCCCCATCAATGGGAGAGATGTCGTCCATGCTCTCGATCGCAGGCGCGAGGGGTCCTTCGTTCCAAAACATGGAGTGGCTAGCAGCAGAGCTCAAAGGTGACGCCGAGCCTGACGCAGAGTCTCGAGAACTTGGCGAGGCGGCATGCCCCCTGCCACCTCTACTCGAGGTTCTACGTCTTTGCAGCGCCGCGAGCGCGGGCGAAGAGCTCGACACAAAATTAGAGGGCATCGTCATGAGCTGAGGCGGGGGCTGACCTCTTGCTCGAAGGTGCAGAGCCTCGGGTGATGCAGGAGCTGGAATCTCCTCATCGGCGTCCATCGGCGCGTCACCCTCCTGACCTCGTCCTGGCGAGATGGAGTCTGTCTGCCCCTCGTACATTTCTCCAGCAGGATTGCCCTCCTCTTTGCTGGCTGCTTCCGGCTCACCCAGCCCCGAGATGACTTCACTGCCCAATGTGCTGGCTCTGCGCAGCCTCCCGCTCCTGCCATGTCCACCGCTCTGGCCCATTGCCTCAGCAGCGGCCGCCCTTCGAACAAGAGGGTGAGGATGAGCATGCGAAGTGGCATGTTCTGACTGGTCCAACACTTGATTCCTCGATGTGAAGCCCGCTGCTGGGGCGGTACTGAGCGATGCATATGGGATATTGATGGGGCTAGCCGAAGCTGTGCCAACAATTGAAGTATCTGCGCTCTGATCACCAGACAACAGGCTTGGACTGGAAGCTCTACCATGTCCACGGAGCCTAAAATCCGCTGGCTGGGTTGCAAAGACACCTCGATGACCGGGCGTAGATGTCGATGTTAGACGAGATGAGGAGCTCTTCTGATCGTCGGTACTGTGCTCTGCCGTTATGCCGATCTCAGCATTTGCGTCCTGTGATGCGGGCATCATCTGTGCTCAACTTCGGCGCGGCGCAGATTATCGGCTTTGATTGCTTCGGAAGCAGGCTGAGAGCGAATCGCTCCCGACGTTGTTGTTCGTATGCGCGAATCTCAGCAAAGGTGAGTCCTGCCCCCAGTCGCTTGTGCGAGGCGAGAAGGCGATCTCACTCGACGGGCACACCGATCGAGCATGTTGCTGAGATCGCCTCAGCTGGAAGGCAAGCGATTTGAGAGTCGAGAGCAGAGTGGAGAGTCTCTGCTCTGTCAGAGGATGAGAGTCGCTGCGCGGTACCTTTACCTGATTTTGTGATGTAGCTCCGTGGAGTGGTGACCATGAGAGCAGGCACGAATGAACGGCGCAAGACTCATGAATCAAGAATGCTGGAGGCACGTAGTCGGGACAGCACACGGAGCCAGCCACGGACGAGCGCGCGCGCGACGCCGGCTTCACGTTCAAGCTGCGGCCACCTTTGCTGCCTGTGTAGAAACCATTTCAAAATGGTCCTTCATCGTAAATTTTGCTGCGAGCCCTGAGTTGTCGTATGAATCCTGAGTACCTTGCCAGCTCAACATCAGACCAGCGAACGTGGGACATCAGCCTACCCGACCGGCCAGGCAGCTTGATCCTCACAAGAGCCTGCGTCTGATCCACGCATGCTTGGCAGGGCGAAATGTCCGAAACACAAGAAGGGGCTCTCGCTCACTGACACTCGAGCTCTGTCGCTTTGACGTTGCTTCAGCATTGATGCCTAGCAGGTCCCGCGTGCTCTGACCATCCACACCAAGTCGTGTGTATCCCAAGAAGGGGATCACACGCGCGCAGTGTTTCGTGCTCGAAATTGGCGCGTCACAGCCAAGCAAGCGTAGAAAACGCCATCGTCGACAGCCGGCACCTAGACGCCATTCCTTCATCAAACATCCTCAGCTACGTCCCTCTTCTCACCAAGCCCAAATCGTCCAGTAGTCGACGCAAAGACTGGCGCTCCTCTGTCTCAAATGCTAGCTTCTCGTTCCCTCGGCAATTTGATATCACCTCGAGAAAACGGGCAGCCCGACTTGCGCTTTTGAAGCAGAACACCAGCCAAGCGGACGTCTTTTTGATGATAGCACAAGAGACAGCTTGCTACTGCGCCCCAACACGTACCCTCTCACGCCTGCACACTTCCTGACCGCACTCGGAAAAGCTGGCGGTAGGCACCACGCTCGGCTCAGTGAGACGACCTTGCTGACCCTTGAGCCACCGTTGAGATGACTCGTATGTATTGCTTGACAGCTAATTCGGACTACAGAGGAATGTTCAGATCAGACTTTATTGCGTCTATCAGTCCCAACATTAGGCCTCGCTCATGTCCACATTGGCCTTAGGGTTGAAGAAAATAGAGTTGTTGCCCCAAGGGAATGCTGTGAAGTGAAGCAGACAGTTTCAGGGGTCAGCGTTGGTCCCATCGCCTACTCAAATCTGACTATTGGCAACTCTTGCTGCGGCTGTGATGATTGCCAAGCTTCTGAGACCAGAAGCGGGAGAAGCATGCGCCTGACCACTCACGCTTCTTGCGAATGTTGTTGTAGTCGTACTGGGTCCTCTCTGGCAGCTGTCCACCATTCTCCTCAATCTCGTGGTCACGGTGATGAATGTGCTCAGCTTCGATGCCGTAGATGTAGATGCCAAGGACGATGGTTCCTGGGATGCATACGTAGTAGAAGATCCTGCGCCAGAGTTCTGCGGACTCTGCATGAAGAGACCAAGATTATGGCAGTTGTGTAAGTCTTGAGACGAACCCGAGCAGATGGGGTGCAAACGACCAGAACAGTTGGGAGCTAACTCACTAGCAGCGTGCTCCTCCTGGTGTCGGCGCTCAGCGATGAAGTCCGCACCAGTGGTGGGATACACGGACTGAAATCGGCGAGAAGTGATTTGAGCTTGGGAGGCAACGAGAGGACTGAGCCTTGCGCGCGCACCCGCGCCTAGCCCCGAAGAACGAACTATAGATCTTGCGAAAGACATCTTGACAGTTTTTATACGCAAAAGAACCTTCGATTGCGGTCAGGAAATGGTGTTGTTGTGGTCCTTGGCGGAGCTGGCCTTTTCCTTGGCCCAACTCACGACTGGAACGGAGAGCTTCTACTCGTCGGCGCGCGACGGGTTGGTGATAGCGCGCACAACACTGCTGGCTCACGTTTCTGCGTCCAACTGACATTTCATCGAGACGATTCTTGCATGCAAGGGCTAATCACGTGTTAGGAATGTCATGTTGAGAACACGTCAATTTACGCGCCTAGAATCTTTCGCGAGCGCTGCATAATCTCGAACTGCTAGCCGCCTCAATGGCTGTCATAAGCCTCTTAATCGGCTTCGTGAACAAGAAAGAGGTGCTGCAGCTTCGCTGAAGGAACGTTGGGTTGCTCGGGACGATTTCTGCAGAGTCAGCTCACTGCCCAAGGTCTTAGTCAAAGGTACCTGAATGCTGTAGCCCAAGTTTGCATGGCACGAAGGTAGCTCGCCAAGCCACTCCACACCACACCACTCGCAGGAGTCGTTTTGGAATTGCCGAACAACCACGCAGGACCCCGTCATTCCTTGTTCTTGAGAATTGCCGCGCTGACCTTGAAGATGCCGCTGCATGCAATGAGGGGCGGGCTGAAGGACAACTCAAAGCAGCATGCCACACTCGTGACTTGCCGGGATGCCATGCACACCCGGTCCAAGTCGTGAGTCAAGACTGGGTGAATGATTGTGCCGCTGACTCACTCGGCACTTATTGATGTGACATGCGGCTTGATATCAGGTTCCTCCTGGGGACCATGCGCGTACATGTCGTCAAGTAGGTGTAATTCAGGGCGGTGCGTAACCTGAGCTCTGACTCTCAACTCGTCATGTAGCAAGTCATCAAGGGTTGGACAAGAGCCCAGATAAAGTGGTAGTAGTACTCCTAGTGCAGTGAAAGCTCGCGCGGCGCTCTTTCTAACGTTTCCAGGGCTCACCTGCTGGCAGGGGCAGAAGTCGATCGGCCGATGAAACTTTCACGCTTGGAACTCAGACAAAGATTTCAAATGAGATGTCGGTCGCTGCATGGGAAGAAGGGGCAGTCGTGTGTGCTACACCGGAGCTGGGTGAAGAGCGTGAGAAGAAAGCTATACAGGTAAGGACGCACACCAGCACAAGATAGAGAGGTGGTACCCAAAACTCGGTCAGAACTGGCGTCCAATTTGCTCCTCTTCCCGAACGCTTGGTCCCGCGCGCATGCTGCATAATACATGTAGCTGGAAAAGGTTCACCCTGCTGCATATAGCAACACCTGGAGCCATGCATATAGGCCTTCGAGCAAAGTCTGTTTCACTGCTTGACTGCAGACACACAGCATCTATGTCGAGTGAGCTTTGGCCAGGTGCATGCATGGCCCTCGGCGCCTCTCTGGCCTCTGACAAGTGCGTACTGGTCAGTCAGAGCAATCTTGAGTGCTGGAGGGAACCGCGCACCGCTGATGCACCAGCGCGAATGAGTCGCAATTAAGGCGCTCCAAACGGCTGCGATGGAGTTGACGCGATGCGTGCACGAGAATCCACATTCAAATTTGAATTTGGATTTGAATCTTGAATGCGACGCTTCTCGTGAACAGTCAGAATCGAATCGAAATTTGAATTGCGAAGCCCAAATTAAACTGCAAATCGGTAATAGAAGGTCCCTTACAGACAAGACTCGCCAGCTACAGTCAAGAGTAGCCAAATTGCTTAGGTACGCCTGACGCGCATGAGTAGATGACTCAATTGATGCTCATTGGTCAAGCCGGGCTAGCAAGGATCCTCTGCGAACCTAAGCCAAATCACGAACCTTGAATGCAGGAAGGAGGTCAAGCTGTCTCTCGAGGGGTCGCTCCTTGTCTTCCCGCACTTCGGCCAAGTAGATCCGGCGTTCTGAGCGTGCGTAGTCAATTGACTGCTGCATTCACATTCTGCGACTCTAGACCGTCTCATGTCTGTTTCGTCAGCAGCACGGCATGCAGAGGATCGCATACGCCTTCGTAAGGAGCGAACCTCCGTGCATGCTGATGGTGTGGATGATGAGGCATATACATGTGTCGCATGAAGTCGAGAATGGAGCACGGAAGCTGAAACAGGAGCGCGAGGCCCATGCATCGACGCAGTCAATGAGCACAGACGTGCGTCGGCAGGAACGGTCTTGCCAAGAGAGGGTTCTTTTCACCGCGACCTTGCAGATTGTGGCTCTTCTGCTTTCCTTCGTTTGCTCTCCTCAATCTTGAATCACGAATGAAGGATTGAGTTGAAGGAATGTGTATAAGGTTTAGGGAGACGTCAAGCCGATGCTGAGCTTCAACGAGCTCCGCGCCTGGCCTACAGAATGAGGCGCCCTTTGAGCTGCTGTCTGCGGGGGGCCCAGCCGCACTCACGACCAGCATAAATTTGGGTGAGAAATGACCTTCGCACGGCTGCATGCTACCCTTGATGTTGCTGGGATCACTTCCAGACCTGTCTCAAAATTGGATCAGGAGCTTCAGCCAAGTCAATCAAGAGTTCATGAATCATTCACGAGTCGATCGCGACTCACGTCTCCACCAGCCGAGCTGGATCACGATGCACGCCTCGATCTCTTAAAGGCTACAGCGCGTCTGTGGACTAATAACTGCTCTAGCTTGCTCGAAGCGCAGTCTCCGACGGGGCTCGGCGCTCGTTAGCCGAAACGCTAACTACTGCCGCGCGCAGCCTCAGCAGGACATGTCTTCCGAGGATGATCGAGCGCGGCGGCCAAATGCACATACACAGTAAGTATGCATCAGCAATAATAGTCGAACAAGAGACTTGTCTGTGTGCGTCGCGGGTAGCGGCACAACGTCTACCGGTAATGTATGAGTACCACCTCGACATCATGCCTGGCCCGCTTTAGTGGTCCCACACGGGCACAGAGGGCCATTGTAGACGCAATTTGAGCCGGGAAGACAGAGCGGGATATAGGAGTCGAAAGGGGGGCTGCGCATGTGGACTTGCGCATCCGGCGGAGGCAGTCGTTGGAGGATGGACAAAAAGCGCCGTAGAAGGGGCATGCAACTCAACCTGATGAGTGTGAAATGTGAATGGGGACTATTCGTGATTTGAAATCATGGAAATGTGTATCGAAACCCTCAATTAGTGAGTCTTCTTGAGTGGTGTGCGTCAACAATGACATGCTCTGCGGCCGAGCTGTGCTAGACGTGCTCATGTACCACCCACCCCTATCACACACCAAATTCCGTCGCTGTTTCGGTGGCATAATGACCACGTCTCCCACCGATCTTGGCAGACGGCCGTTGCATGCTGCTGATCAGCTATACATGTACGTAGGCGAAGGCCGGCTTTGTCTGCACAGCATGGCTGAGCTCGGCATCGATACCCAGCCCTTGCCGTTGCACACGTCCTAATGTGCAGCAGCAAAGACGAACATTCGCTTCAAAATTGAAAATCACACCGGCCAGCCTTGCCTTTACATACCGACGAACTGGCCTGTACAGCCTGCGAATAGCGTGAGTATCCGGTACAGACTTTTTAGCACCGCCCCCGTGTGTATAGCGCTGACGAGACACCGTATATGAACGCGGAGTGAGTCAGTGGGTGGCGCTGGCTCGCGAACCTTGAGCAACGAGGCGGCAGTCCGCGGTCGGGCCGCACGCGACAAGAAGTGCTTAATTGAGGCTTGGACTAATGTTGCCCTTGCAGCTCGCTAGCTCGCGAATTGACTCGATTCGAAAATGGTGGTGTCAGAGGAGAGGGGTAAGTCTCAGCGGCTACTGAGGATCACAAATTGTTCCGAAAGACGTGAGCTAAAGTGCTTTGGTGACGACTTTGGTGACGAAATGCATGAGTTTGTGGAGCGGCTCACCGATGCCGCCGCCCTCCCACACTTTAGCAGGCCTCATTTTGTTTTCTCGACAACTTTGCGCTGTTACTGGTGACTGTACGCCCGAAATACGCGAGATTGTTGCGTGCAGATCACTGCAATGGACTGCTCGCCAGGCAATGCTAAGGCTAATTGTGGGGGATGCGCTGCTGCGCCTGTCTTAGCGTGAAATATGTCCGCTCAGCAAGTAGTAGCCCAGTCTGAGTGTAGTCTTGAAGGTGAAACTCTTGATTGCGTCGTCGACGGCACGGGCGATGGTAACGGCACACGCGAAGCTCTAGTCGTGAGTTGGGCGGAACGGAGACGAACACAAAACACCGCACCGCGTGCACCGCATAACCTCGCATCGCAGCTGCTGTTCCACCCACAACGAGCAGCGGACCTCTTTCTACTTTTGTGTCACCGCGTCTGCACGCAATGGAGCGCTTAATTCATCGATCACACAGGAACCATCCAGCCTGCAGCAGCAGCATCGGCAGCGGCAGCAGCAGCAGCAACTCTTCTTGGCTAGATTCAAGGAGCACATGTTTCCCGTTCGGTAACGCACTCAGACTCGAAATTTAGACGCCCATGTAGGGACCGCAGCCAAAATGTGGTCAGCATGAGTCATTGATGCGCGCGCTTTACCGATCGGCTGACCCACTGTATTGTAGGTACTCACTGGCGCACTCATCAGGATCAGGGCTCTTCTGCTCTTAGGTGCAATCAATGGCCCGCCAGCTCGCTTCCGCAACATGCCGTTCAAATTTGTCCCTGCTCCTTGCTTACCGAACACCTTCTCCCACTTGGCCACGTACATGCAAGAAGGCATTCATCGGACCTTGGTCGGCAAGGCCCTCGCACACCCACATTTGTCTTCGACATCTTGCTGAGTCGACCGATGTGTTTCCCTATTTTCATCTCGAAACGCTGTGTCGGATACTGTGGGCCGTAAAGTGCGACAAGCATCAAATCCCTCCGCCCTCACCCGCCCTACAAGGAGCGCAATCAGGACCCTTCCGGAACCATTGCAAGGGAGTCTGCAGTCCGCGGCTCGTGGTACAGACATTTGCAGTGGCTTCCAGATTGAATCATGCTCCGGCCAGAGACTTGATCTCAACGAATAGCAGCTCTCTCTTTTGAACAAATCTACGAATGATCCTACTCATCCGGTCGAGGTCAATGACCTTTCCCTCTTCCTACCGCCACCAGCCACTCTTCAAAGAAGCGCCATTGACCGATCCCCAACACTAGGGACACTCGCCGGACGAACGTACAACGCTCCACACACGCAGTCAGCACCAGGATTTGGACGAGTGCACATGCGCTCCCGTCATTCGCACAGCAATCAGCCAGCCATCACTTTGGGCCCTCAACTTCAAGCACCAACACAGGCAGACACACCGAACAGAATGCTGGCCATCTCTGACCCTATGAGCTACTTTCCGACGGTACCCATGGGGTACAAAGAGACCCAGAAATTGGTGGGGCATGATGCTTTCTCCTCTATTCATCCAGTAGTGATGAACTCAGCTTCTTCCGCACCGCACGATGAGACGGCTGTCGCATCCGTCGCCAGCCAGGTGGCTTCCAGCTCACGTCTTATTCCCCAAACCCAGAACGCAGCAACCGCTGGCATCTCTTGGGCGCAAGATAAGAGTGTCAATTATGCGGCGTCCAGTGCCGCTCAGCACGATGGAGCCACGAGATTATTGCCGTCACTGTCTCACTTGCTCGAGGGAGCTAGTACTTCATCTCGCCCGCCGCCGATGTCGACGCTTACTCCGCCTTTGCATGGAGGCTTAGGCGGTGTATACACAGACCATTCTGTCGGCGCCTCGAACCTACAGGTCTTGACACCCAACAGCTGTCTGCGTTCTGCTCTTGACCAACATGCGACGCGCGGCCAAATCAGTGACAATCTTCCATCGACGTCAGCGTACTCCAATGATGCCGTGACCTATCCAACCCCGATGGGTTGGCAGAACGAGTTTGGCCACCTCATGGCACACCCTCAGTACGCATCGTCCCTTCGAGACGGTGCACAGGCATCCGACACTCGCAGGGGTCTCCGACCAATCCAGCGTGGCCAAGGGCACGCGTATTCGCGTTCGTGCCCGGAAGAGGTCGAGGAAGTACTTGCAGAGTTGGCATACTCGAGTCACGAAGGCAAATCAGCGGCAATCTCTCAACCGACGGCTGGCCCGTCTTCGCTGGAATTTGGGCCAAGCTCGTGTCTGGACTTTGTGTCAGAGGTGCCACACTCCCCACCTTCGCAGGCCGAAGTTGCTCAGTGGTTCGCTGCCATGGTACAGTGAGTCGTCCTTGAGGTGTTGCGTGTACTCAAAAGAATGACGGAAGTCTGACGGAAGTCAACCCTGCAGTTACATTTGGTTCAATCGACCGGATGTGCAAGACGAGACTACCTCCAGCAGCCAGGGAGAATGTCTACGTCTGCACCCTTCCCCAGCGTTCGTCGCATTCGTACGTGAAACGCTCAACACCACTCAATTGAGCAACGCTGTTATTCTCCTCGCCTTGTGAGTCCGAACAATTTCGCACTTGGTGCTTGCACTGCGTTTAACACTCCCAACGCCTCATTAGGCTCTACATCCGAAGAGTGCGCTCGCAGCATGGCCAAGTCCCCGGCTGGGAAGGGGCAGAGTATCGCCTTGCGATTAGCGCTCTGATGCTCGCCAACAAGATGCACGAAGACAGCAGCTATACATCGTAAGTTCTCTATCCTGGATGACGCTGACGTTGTCCGTCATACCTTTCTGACAAAAAAAACCTAACCCACAACAGAGCCACCTGGTCCGACATTGTCAAAATACCAGTGAAGGAGCTCAATCAGATGGAGGTCGAGCTTTGGCTTGCAGTCCCATCCATGTGGACCTCGTCGGATCAGTACTTCGACTGGGTCGCTGAGGTAACGGCTTTGTCACATTCGCGCGAGTACGAGTTGCAAATCTTTGAGCAACGACGAGCCTTTGGTCACGCTTCGATGTGGTCCATCGGCGCTGCACCGTCTGGATGCGCTACTGCTCGCCGACGAGGTGTTCGTCGAACGTCTCCCCGACTTTTCGCCAGGCACAGCCTAGGCAACATCTTCGAATCCGTCAGCCCCGCAGGTGCCAAGGGTCCTTTGGAAGTCTCGGGGGAAACCGTTATGAGGCGTGACGATGCATCCCAGATCCTCGATTGGACCTTTGGCTCGCTTCATGGACCGACACAACAGCCAGCTTCCAGTATCTCGATCGCCTCATCCGCGGATCTCACTCCCGCAAGGCCGAGTCCTTTGCGTTTTTCTGACTCGTGGCGAGCATCCGAAGACCCCACCTCTACAGTGCGGCCGACCTCGCAGCAACTCGAGACGCCTGGCATGGGAGTGGGGGTAGGCGCGAAGCGTGCCTTTGACGGCTCCGGAGAGGTGTTGTCTGAACCAGCTGCCAGGCGTCGCAGACGCAATGATCAACACGACCATGACGCTTCATTCTGGATAGCACAGTCAAACAGCCTACCCAGCCAGTTAGGGGTGGCGCCCTCTGTTGTAGGCAGTCGCCCCTCAATCGCACAACCAGGCTCCGTGCTCTCGATGCAAGAGTCGCATGGACACGGCACAGGGCCATCACGTCAGCGCTCGACATTTGAAGGGGCTTTGACGCCTGACGTGCTCATCGCACCCTACGCTGGCCCGTACAGGGCAGAGGCTCCTCAAGTTTTGGGCGTCGAGCATGGACGAAGCCACTCTGCTAACACTGCACCTCTCCACTATTGGTCCTTGGCTGCTGGACATGCGTATGGGCGCGCGAATCAATACCTCCTTCCGCCGATCCCCGGTGCTCATCAATATGTGCCTCCTGCCACCGTCAACTTGCGACGAGCAGAGCATACTCCATCGCCGTTGGCGATCCATGAGCCGCACGTGGAAACAAGCCATTTCAGGCACGTTCCAGCCATTACGTCTACTCCCTACCCTACACCCTCGAGGAGCAGGAAAGTCTCGCGACACGCTTCGTCAAGCAATGATGAGCGACAAGATTCTGTCAGTCCGAGCGCAAATGTGCTCCACTATCCACAGAGCGCGCAAATCCGGCACATGGGCCCCACACACGGTGGACCTGCCCAGTCTTTCGTGGCCGGCCCCAGCATGCTCGACAAATTTTCTAAGCTTCCCGTGACTCAAAGCTGCGACGAGCTGCATGATGCTGGTGCTCCTCAACATTCACTTCAGCTGCCCTCTTCTGTGGCCTGGACACCGGCTCCTCAGTGCGGCCAGCACGACTCCTACCGGCCATTCGTGGCCAACACTCACGACTGGCCCATCACGCGATCCAGACTTGGCCCCTATCCCGCTGATGCTGATTCGTACCAAAAGCCAGCTTTTAAAGGGTAATTTTGGCACGCCTGAACTCGCCCCAAACGGGTGGGGTTAGCTACTCGTGGGATTTGTGCTCGATTCGGATTTCTTGCGCCGCCTTGATCACCGCTACCAGTTTCTTAGCATCTCAATCGGCCTATACTAGGCATCTAATCGCGGCGACCCGGCGTCGCCTCGTTGACTTCGCTATCGCACACAAATAGCAGCACATCAGCGTTCTTTCTAATAGCATCTGGTCTCATCTTGTCTTTGGCTTCCTACACGCATCTCAGAACATAGGCCACATTCATTTCCACATTTGTACACAACTCAGGCAATCGATAGATTGGCAGTCGATGAAAGAGACGAGCTTGCCTCATTCTGCGTAAGGATGGAACGTCGTCAGATCGTGTCCGCATCTGCCATTTTGCGGAAAGCGCCGTCTTTCTTTGCCAACAGGTTCGAAGGAGTGTCGAACTCCAAGATGGAGCCGTGTGACATGACCAAGATGCGGTCGTCTGTAGGATCAGACAAAGAGAGAAGGGGTGGGTAACCTTTTTGCGCGTAAGCGCGTGGCGGCGCTTCGGATGAGCCAGACGAGTCGTACTGCGCACTCACAATCCATAATTGTCCTTATACGATGAGCGACGGTGATGACGATACGATCTGACAGCTGCGTTCGTATGACCTGCTGCACAGCAGCGTCGGTCTGTTGTTGGTAGACGAAGAAAAGCATAAGGCAAGGCTAGCCAACGCCCTCCCCAACAAAAGACAAAAAAAAAACTCTCTCCCTCTTGCTCACCTCGTGATCTGTATTAGACGTAGCTTCGTCCAACAGGACGATTTGCGACCCGCGCAGCAATCTTTTTCGCGAGGAAGAAGAGGGATGCGATGCAAGAATCAATCTCATCTGATCCGACAATGTGAATCTAGCACGAGAGGCAGGCGTGAAGCAAGTCAAGACTCACGCTCTTGCGAGGCATAATAGCTGCGCCTGACCAGCACTGAAGTTGGCGCCGCCGGCCGAGACTGGTGTATCGAGAGAGATGCTGTTGGAAGTAAGCGTAGATCCGTACCCATCGGTACCGGTGGGCGATTTGCTGATCACGTCCAGCTTGACGCGAACGAGCGCGTGGATCATCTCTGCATCCGTGTGCTCGTTGAAGGGATCTAGATTGCTGCGCACAGTCTCTTGTCCAAAAAGGACGGGATCCTGCGGCACGACGGCTATGCGTTGTCGTAGATCGTCTAGACCGATCGAGGAAATATTCAGGCCTTCTATTGCTATTTGACCTTCAAATGGAGTCATGCGCAGGAAGCATCCCATCAGCGACGTCTTGCCACTGCCTGTTCTTCCCACGACTCCGATCTGCATGGGCGAGCACATCAAAGAATCCTCACCCAGTCAGTGGCTGATGCATCGAAAGCGGAGCTGTTGCACGAGTGAGGCACCCACTTTTTCGCGCGGCTTGACGTCAAAGCTGATACCTTTCAGTACGAGCGGCAGCTTTGGGCGGTACCTAGGAGGACAGACCTTTGTCAGTGAGCTGCAGTGTCGGTAGTGTCTGGACGTGTTTGTCGATACACACCGCATCGCCAGGTCTTCTACTTTGATGTCCGCCTGAGGACTCGGCCACGCAGCAGGCGGCCTTTGATCGTCCAGAATAGCGGGTGCTTCCTTGCCCTGAGGAAGCATGAGCAAACAATCCCTTCGACTCAGCTTGCGCTTGTCTATCTTGCCTGCGAGACATTCTCCACTCACGACGTCTCGGTACTCTACGATTCTCTCCAAGCTGTTCATATTGTTGACGAGATTTTTCGACTCCGACGCAATGTACAAGCAGCGCTGTGTGATGAGCGCGGCAGAGGACTACGAATGGGCCCAGAGTCGAGATCTGAATCAGGCGTGAGCAGGAAACACAGACGCAGCGGGGGGGAACGAACCATGACCATCCCTGCGGAGCCTGGAGATACTGCGCCGGTGATAGCAGCCACGGAAGCTACGAAGACCGCAACGCCTCCAAGCACTTGACAACGAAAGCTGTACAGGGGACAAGATGGAAGCTGTCTAGTGAGACTGCACGCACCGAGCAATGCTTCGATGGCACCGGCGCACATACCTCAGCCAAACGTCGTGAGTCGCAAGAGCTGCACGAGGACTCGAGCCTATCAGCAATTTCGGTGCAAAGGCACGCACAAACCTGACTTACCCCACCACTGCGCCATCGTTCTCGCAGTGATATCGCCCATGCCCTCGAGGGTACAAGCCTCGGCTCCAAACGCCCGAATGGTGACGATGCCCTGCATGACTGAGAAGAACGAGTCGTACATGGGGGATGTCGATGTGCTCTCCACTCTTTGCATGTCGCGAGAAGCTGCCAAGAATCCGCGAACGGCCCAGGGTCCGAGAATGAAGAGCAGCGCAGACGGTAGCAGCAGCCACGGTACGATGGCCCTGGAGAGCAAGCATTGCCGCATGGTCAAAGGCTTGAAGCGAGATCATGCCGCGCAGACGCGGTCGCGACTTACGTGCAGATGATGATGTAGGTCGAGAGCGCCGAAGTATGCTCAAAGATGCTCAGAGAAGTGCTGGGCAAGTCCGTGTCCACAACGGAAAAATCCGCTCCCAATCGTTGCGCTACTCTTCCAAAGGGATTGGCATCCCACCAGCTCATAGGCGCCCTGATCAGGTTGGACAAGAGCGCTTTGAAGATTTTGCGAGACGCCTGTTGCTGAGCAAAGATGAAAGAGAATCTGCTGAGCAGGACAAAGGTGATGATGGACAATCCAATCCCGCCATATCCCAGTAGGTAGAAAGCCTGATGGCCACTGGCGGGTGGGAAAGCTGAGGCGGTATATAACGCAGCCAGATCAAGGTGGTCGGTCAATCTGGCCGCTGATTCGCCCCAGACTTTGAGCCAGTACTGCTCGCCAGCAGTTGCAAAGCGTGCAAGGACGTGAAACGTGATGACCACGACCCAGGGAAGAGGAGGAGCCGCGCCAGCATAGACTTTCAGCAATGTCCACTGCACTCCGCCTTGTCTTCTACCCTCCAGCTCGTATAAAAGCTCTGCCGTATCCCGTGCATCGGCCCTTTCTTGGTCCGATCCTCCCGGCGTAGCTGTGGCGGACAGTCCGCTAGACGATCCCTTGGTACCAGTCGCGCTCGCTTCGGCTTCTGAACCGCCTGTCTCGCTCTTCGTTGCCACGGAGCTGCCGGAGCCTTCGGCAGGCGAAAGATGCTCAAAGCTCGTCACCTTGCCCTCGCGCAGCTGGAGGTGTGTTACAGCATGAGGCAGGACCAGATGCTCGTGATGGGTAGCCAGCACAATCCTGCGCCCTCGCGCGATCGGTGCCGTCAGAGCGTGGTGTATGAGGTGTTTCTGAACGCGTGCATCGACGGCCGAAAGGACGTCATCCAGAATGATGGTGCTCGTGCGAGCGTACAGCGCGCGTGCGAGGCACACTCTTGCTTTTTGACCGCCGGATAATGTTCCTGCTGCGATCCTGGTGGCGTCGCCATCCTTCATCTCCTGGAGGTCTTCTACAAGTGCGCACGCCTTCAAGATCGTTTCGTACCGCACAGCGTCGTAAGGTGTGATATACAGGATATTCTGAGGTTCCGTATCGCCGATGAATAGGATCGAAAGTGAGCAGACTATCGGGATCACTTTCAAAGAGACGTCGATTCTGCTCACCTGTCGTACGGAAAGCCCAGCCTGCAGCCAAGGCGATTGTCCAGCATACGAAACATCGCTGCGACGTCCATCAACAAACTTGTTCAGAACCAGCTTACCACTCAGACAGATCGTCTCCCCAAGCAGGGAGTGCAAAAGCGTCGATTTCCCAGAGGCCGTCGGACCAGACACGACACAGAGCCCAGCAGGTGGAAAGTCGAGCGTAGGAAGCTGCAGGGTGAACATGGCGGATGAGGCGTCCAATTTGGGTCTGTGCCAGACGAACGCAGCAGGTCCCTCGATCCGAAGAGCAGAAGTCGCAGTGGAGATGTCGAGCGAGCTAGGCGTACGCATGCCGGGACTGCATTTCAATCCCGAAATCATGACCTCCACCTCTTCCTCGTCCAGAAAGGCTGCAATGCGAGAGACTGCAATCGCACTGTTGATGAAGACGCTGACAAAAGTGGGAATCACGTTCAAAGGCTTGAAGCGAGAGGTCGTACAAGGTGAGTCCAAAAGCGCCACGAGCAAGGAGAGACCTCATCACTCACAGTTCGAAGCATGGCGAAGAGCGTAATAGCGGTGAAAGCGACTGGAGAGGCGGTGCCAAAGTTCTCAGATACCAAGACTTTCCGTGAATTTTGGTCCCAGTGCGACACACTCACCTGGCACAGTAAGCTGATTGCCCTGTACATAAGTGTAGCAGTAGATGGAAGTTAAAGTGACAGCGATGGGCGTCACTAGCCACAGAGCGATGAAGGCCAAATCCAGCAATCTGACTCTGATGAGCGCATTCAACTCGTCGTTTCTCGCCAGCAGTATCCGGTCTCTCCATCTGGCTTCCACGCCTTGTTGCTTGACGAATTTGATGTTCGTCAGCACAGAAGCTACAAGGGAAATCCTCTTGTCCGTCGCGGTACGCCAACGTCTTTGCACTCTGATCGCTACTCTACCCATCAGATGGTTGATGGGCAACACGAGTATCAAGAGCGCAGCTCCGGCGAGTGATGCCCAACCCATCAGTCGATAGAGTAGAAGGGTAGCAAGGACAGTTTCCATAGGTGCACCGTACAATTGATGCGCATCGCAGCCCAGCCGAAGCAAGGTGTTGATGTCCGTACCGATCATATTGACCACCTTTCCCACATCTGCCCTGCTCTCCTTTATAGCCTGTTGCGCTTTGATAGCTCCTTTGCGTTCGCTGGCACCTTTCAGAGGTGTACGTTCGTTTTTGTTCTGTGCAGGAGCTCCCGTCACCTCTTCTTGTGCTCCGCTCAGGTCCCTCCTCTTCAAGGCTTTTTCGAGCAAGGCCATGACGAGCGTGATGCGGATTCTCAACCCCACCTGTCTGGCATTGTGGTACGATCTGACCTGGGCGACGTACTGCGCTGCAGTTGCAAAGAGCGTGGCGATAGCTAGAGCAAGTGCCAGGCTTCTTGGTGTCCATTCTATGGGCAAGCCAGCGCCCATCTTTTGACCTTCCGAAAGTGCTTGTCGATTTTCTTGTGCCGCAGCTGTAAGAGCTTCGAGGATGCGACGCATGAGTGCGGGCCCAGCATAAGCCAAAGATACGCTGATGACTTTCCATAGAGCATCGCAGACAATGTCCCGCTTGTTGGCGGAGAGGAGCGCCGAGATGAGTCTGCGCGTAGAGGAACCTTGCCTGGATGCGAGCAGAGCACTGAACTTGCGATACAGAATCGACACGTCGTTGACGCTTCTCAACCTCCAAATGTCTGTGGGTAGAAGAGGTCTGGACAGGGCTAGCTTCTGCAAAGGCGCCATCCAAGTGTACGTCAGGGACTGGTACAAGGAACAATAGTCCTCTGGCGTAGTCGGAGAGGCCTGGCAGGAGTGCAATCAGTGATGTGAGTGGATGATGTGGAGCGCGGTGAATTTTGCACTCACCTCGTAGCTCTCTTTGATATTCTCAGTCTCGGGTGTGACTACGTCGTCGACCAATCGCTGCCTCTCGCACATCGGCACCTGCCCATCCCATCCACCTGGCGCAGTGGGCATTGAGAGAATGAGAAATAAGCAGACTCCTGTCAATATCGCGTCCAGAAGTGGTGGCACAACGTCAGATGCTGCGAGAGTGGAGCGGTCGCTGAGCAGCGCTGGGAGATGATCCAAGATGCGCCTTAGAGGAAGAAGGATGTGCAGCAATAGAAGCAAAGATGCCGCCAGCGGAGGTGTTTTGGGCGGTCGTAAGAGGAGAAGAGAAAGAACGAGCAGCTACAAAGGGTGAGGACTTAGCTGTCGCTATCAGAGGCGGGAGTCTGCTATTCCTCGAGACCAGGATGCACTCACCCACGTTGCGGCACAGCTCAGAGAGGCCATCTGCACTCCGCCTCGAGCATGATAAGCGCTGGACCACGCACAAGCACAAGCCTGTCCAACAGCGATTGCCTCAACGCACAGCACCCTGCCTCTCTGCCTTTTCGTTCCATCCAAGCCGAAGTCGCTGTGCCTGGCTTCTCTACCAGGCACCAGACCTCTCCTCATCCATCCCCCTCTCCTATCTGCCACATCTTGATCAGTCACAAACGGCTCTGGTAGGAGTTGAGGAAAGACGAAGGACTTGAGAAGCAGTAGTGGGACAGCTGAAAGGGGAAGGAATGGTAACCAAGGAAGAGATGGTAGCGGAGCCCACTGCTGCCCTACCGCTGCGCTGATCGAAGTGACTAGCATCCCACCTGCAATCACGCGGACCGTTGGCCTTCAGATCAAGAGTCCCGTCCGCCAAACCTACTCAGCTTCTCGACAGTGCCGAATATTGTCGACGACGGTGATAGGGCGAAGGTGTCTAGATGTGGTGGATTGGAAAGGAAGTCTGGAAATCCCTCCCTTTTGTGCACAGCATCATCTCGCAGCCAGCTGCAGAGCGCGAATTGTCAAGGGCGGGCAGGGTCATCTCCGCGGACTTGACACTTTTCCCCGCGAAATGACGCAGACGCAGACGCAGACGGCAAGATCGCTGAGGGCGACATCCGGACGCGCAGCCCATGCGATGATGATGTGGTGTGCTGTATAGAGACCTCCACCCAGCAGCGGGAGCGGCATGCAATTGTGAATGAATGAATGCAGTGCATTGCATGCATCAAGCGTCGATAGGCCCTCTGATCGTGGCGCATTCACACTTCACGATTCACCGTGGTGGGGACCCTCGCTATGCTGATTCGTGCTTACCCTGCCCTGCACACGACGACCAAACGCATTGAGACCAAAGCAAAGCAAAGCAAAGCAAAGCAAAGCAAAGCGAAGCGCTTTGCGAACAAAGCACCGACAGCAATCAAGCACCAA